AAAGGGATGCGGACGGACGACTGCGTGTTCCGAAGAGGTTTTCCGCGATCTTAAAGAAGGTAAATCTCGAATCCTTCAGTACGTGCAAATGATCTCAATTCGACAGAATATCCGCGTGTTTGAGACTAGGGAATTTCGGAAGAGCTATGTGCGGCTTTCAAAAGACCTCGTCGGTCTGCGGACCGTGCAGTTACCAATATGGCGTTACCTTGGCCAGGATGAAGATCCCATGTGGGCGGATATTGACCCTGGTGAGTTCTTTATACATATGTTGAACGAAGCAGACGCTCATGAACAGTTTAGACAGGTACTCCGTGCTCTGCACAGTCCGCGCAGATACGTCCCAGATCGCCCAGAGTCTGAAGCGGCAGACGGGCTCGCTCGGACTGTACTATTGCCTTGAAATTGACATAGTTCTCTCCTTCGGGCTGACCGAATTGAAGGCACAAATTGCTTGGACCGAGAATGTAAGTACACGAGTATCGATCTTTCCGTGTTTTTATTATTTACCGTGACTTCTCATCAGGGCATCGAAAAACGGTACAAATATTCCCTTGCTCAGAAGTGAAATACGCCCTCATGATACTCCCAGAGGGCCTGCCGAATTGGCGTACTAATATTCTGTGACGTCCAGAAAAGGGAATCGTCTCGTTTTGCCGCTGTATATATATCTTGAAACTGAATACTTCCGCCCGTCCACTTGAGTCAGAGCTAAGAGAAATCGATGTACTATTGAGTATTCTCTCACGTCGGCGAAGAGGACTCTACGATTATTCCCCGAGTTTTGAATCGCAAGATCCAATATTCTGCGATATGCGTTTGATATACGCTGGCTCGTATGCTAGCTACCCAATGCCATTATAAAACTGTTGAACATTTGGACCGTGAGAGCCAACAAGCCAAGCCGAGCCGCTCTTGGCCCATATGGAGCAAGATGTCAAGATATCTGATTCTTGTCGTGATGTCGCTGCGGCGCAGCTTTCCTTGTGCTTTCCCCACACACCGATGTCTCTCCGATTTTTGGCGTTCGTCGCGATATTTCTCGTTGGATCTCCTACCCACGCCTCGCAGACCGTCTTCAGCAGCCCCAACGGTATTACGGGCGACCAGGCCTTTGCTCCCACGGGAACACTCGACATCCTCTCCGAGACCTCATTCACGGCGCTCGCACATCCCGAATTTCCTCAGTACGGTGTGCGTATCAAGAAAAGCAAGTTTTGCGATGAGAGCGTGAAGTACGGACACCCGGGCAGCGATGCGATGAGACGGCTGACTCGAGATACAGCGCCTACACAGGATATATCGACATCCAGGCCCGCCACTTGTTCTTCTACTTTTTCGAGAGCAGGAGTGACCCAGATAAGGACGACGTGATATTCTGGACTAACGGAGGTTTGCGCATATCTTCCGCAATTACTTACAACTCGCTCATGCACTCTCGCAGGACCGGGATGCTCTTCTGGGGTCGGATTGTTCATGGAGCTAGGTGCGAATTGCTCGGCTTGATGCATTCTCATTTTGACAATCACTCTGACCAGGACCTTGCCGAGTGGTCAACGCGGACAACGGGACAGTTTTCCATCCCGAATCGTGGAACTCGAACGCCAACATATTCTTCATTGATCAGCCCATCGGCGTTGGGTTCTCGTATGCTGAATATGGCGAGACTGTAGTGCGTATTCTACGTCGAAGAAGTTTAGATGGAACTCTAAATTTTCCAGAGTACTACGGAGGAAGCCGCGAAGGACATCGCTGCTTTTGTAGCCATTTTCTTCGCGCACTTTACCAAGTTCCAAGGACGCGGGTTCCACATGGCGGGTGAATCGTACGGCGTGCGTTCTCAGGCCTCAATGAGGAAATATATTAGGTGGCTAAATTTACGTCTTTTCCAGGGCCGATATCTTCCTCTCTTTGCTGCTGCGGTGTACGACCAAAACCCGCGCCTCGTGAAAGCGGGTCTGCCACCGATCAACCTCACATCCGTCATGATTGGTATGCCTTCGTCAAGTGATGATTGGTTGTCTTTTACACCTCGGTCTAGGAAACGGAATGACAGATGTACCCACTATGATTCCATCCTGGTGAGCTTCAGAGTATAACCCAGAAATTCCATGCAGTAATTCTCCCAGGTATGAAATGCAGTGCTCCCCAGCATCTCTCCCGCCTATTCAAGATATCCAGTCAGTATACTTGTGGCATTTACCACCCGTCGTTACTTACCCTGATGCAGAACATGTGTTCAAATGAAAGCGCGAGTATGTGCTTCGCTAACAGAATGATAACGGGCTGATCCGTCGCTCGTAGCTCCCACGATGCACAAAATGGGTCAAAGAATCATGCCAGGACGTGTTCGATCTTATCAATTGCGAAGCGGCCCTCGAATTCTGCGATCTTTCAATTATGGTACCATACTTCGCCACGGGTGCGTGTTACCTTTCTGCATCTTGACATTTACTTATGCTCATCATCGACAGGCCTGAACCAGTACGACCTCTCCAAGAAATGCGGGGGCGGTGACTCTGGCTTATGCTACGACGAGATCGAGTACGCCTCATCCCTTTCAGGTTACTCTGCGCGATGGTCGCTGACGGGTTACAGCGAAATCATAAAATACCTCAACCAGAAGGACGTGCAAGACCTGCTCGGCGTGGAAGTGTCCACGTATAACGCATGCTCGCATCCTGTCGGGTTCGACTTCAGCGGGACGCTTGACATGATGAAAGGCGCCACGGAGTACGTCGGCGCGCTCCTCGAGCGTGACGTGCTGGTGCTTATCTATGTCGGCACGTACGACTGGGTGTGCAACTGGGTCGGGAACGAGGCCTGGACGCTGGCCTTAGAATGGAGCGGCCAGGCGGAGTTCGGGGCGCAGTCCTTGCGGGAGTGGACCGTCGACGGCAAGCCGGCGGGGAAGACGCGAAATGCCAAGGGGTTGACGTTCGCCACCGTCCATGCTGCAGGCCATATGGTGCGTTGAACTTATTCGTCGCGTATTTCTGTCCCCCTCACCCTCAATATTTCAGGTGCCGTACGATAAGCCGAAAGAATCGCTGGAGATGGTGAATCGTTGGATCGCTGGACAGCCCTTGTAGGGTCTGACAAATGAAGCGACGGTTATCTATCTGGGAGGCATTAATTCGTGTTAAAAAAACTTTTGACTTCCAGTTCATGTTCAAAATTACATTCACAAGATGAACAAGCCTGGATTCCTTCTGCTGAAAAAACACCATCAATTAATCGCAATATATTCCGCCATCAGGCCTTGTGCCCACTGAATCGCGCTTCATATAGTTCGAACTCGTTGTTTGCGGGCCATGCGAGGATGGCCATGAGAAAAAGCCAGAGGTCTGCTCTGGCAATTTTTATTTTGTCAGATACATGCTCAGAGAAAAAAGTCGGGGCTCTGCTCTGGCAATTTGCCTAGCCAAAGATCATTCTCTGAACATGAATGTCGCAAAATAAATCCGTTCTAGCTGAACTTGAATCCGCGCATTAATCGGCTTGATTGATTGATTGATTGAGATTCATTAGGGTTACTGTATGTAGCCAGTTAGACGAAGACAGCAGTATGGTAAGTGAGGTTGTACGGTAAACGTGGTGGGGTTGGGCGGTGCAAGAGAGAGAGGAAAGAGAGGGAGTAATCATAAGATGGGGAAATATTTGCGTAGCGATTCGATTCGAGCAATGGGAGGCGCGGGCGGGGTTTGGGAAGATTCCGAGTCAGTGGTTGGACGGTTTAGGGAAGATATTAGGGCGGCATAATGTAGGTTGAGAGAAAGAGAAAGAGAGAGATGAAAAAAGGAAACCGAAACACCACAACTAGGGGTCCGAAGATGGGGGTCCGGGTGGGGGGCTAGGCCGCGCGAACCGTTCCGTGTCTTCAATGAACTTTGCCATGCTCGAAAGCAACTTTGGGTGGGTGAGAAGGGGGGAGAAATGTAGTGGTCCGAAGAATCCGAGATCCCTGCACGCTTTGTGGAGCGGTTGGCGAAAGCATTAATCGGCGGATGAATCGCTAATAGGGGTACATCCAGTGTTGAGGTGGATTTGTCCACCTCCCTCTGACTCGTTGCCCATGTCTCAAATCGCGAAGGGCCCACCCAGCAGCTCCGCCGACTACTTCGATCCCTCGACGTCCTCTTGTGACACGGAGCGAAGCGTCTCGGACTTCTCTGGCAGCTCGACCGTCGGCTCGGACGTTCTCAGCAACACCTCCTATGAGGAGTCCTATCCAATCGCAACTGAATATTACAGAAGAAAGGTTTGTAAACCAACGGCGGTACACATATCTCACCTCACTCGGCTTCAGGCGATTCGGGACGCAATCCTTTTCGTTTATCCTCCAGGGTGGTTTTCAAGTGTACGCGATACGTCTAAATAACCAGATGCTCTAACGCAACTAAATTTTACTCTCTGTGTAGGACCCGAATGCGGTCAAAGAAGACTATTTTTTGGCCCACGAAGCTGCGTTGCGTCCAGCTCGGGAAGAATTCGACGCTTGGTGTGAAGTAAATAAGGAGGCCATAGGTGAGTTTGACCCGACTGTGGTTGCTTTGATTCACATTCTGTGTAGAGGAATGGATGGAGGCAGAACCACTGCTTGAAGGAGACGATGACATCTACGAGGGGAGGCGGAGTACTGGTCGGAGGAGGGGGAGGATCGTCGGAGAGGGGGGAGGACTCGTCGGTGGGGGGGAGGAGGAAGAGCAACCCCGGGCCAGCACTTAATCTAGTAAGTGCTCGAGTCTTATTGCTCTCCCTTGTCATGCCTCAATGTAACTAGAGATTCCAGTTGTTACACCTATAGTAGCAAGCTTGCTCAAAATCGATTGTGAATTCGTCGTGACCAGGCGGGCGATGAGAACGCCTTGTCTCAACCGCCGCTGTCTAGCCGAGGTGTAAGGCACGAGAATTGAGGTCCTGAGAGGCTATACATCTTGTAAAAAGAACTGTTGGTATTCGCAAGGTACTCGACTTCAAAATGGGTTACATTCACCATATGACCCAGCCTGGATTCGAACCAGGACCTTCCGCTGAAACCTGGCAACCAGAACTATAATAGCATGCGGACGCCGCCACCAGGCCTCATTATGGCTAAAGCTCATACGTATGGGAATGGGAGGTGCGATTTTTGACTGGCTGCGCTTGCTATACGAGCGAATGGAATATTATGTCAGGCATGGACATCAAGATTCAGCCAAATTCAAGACATTCATTGGCCTACTCACCGGCGACCCCGCATCTCCTGTGCTCTGGAATCTCTTCATGGCCGACCTCGCCATGCTAGAAGATCCTGATGATCCAATTCTTTCCAACGTTCGGATAGCTATACTGGCTCAGGCAGATGTCATTCTGCTCATCTCCTTATCGGCCGCGGGATTGCAGCGAAGACTCAATACACTAGTTTATTCTTGCTCCAAAAATTTCATCGTAGTCAGCATGATCAAGACTACTATTATGATTTTTGGCAACGCAATGTTCTGACTATAAAGGTCCAAGATGAATATGTGGGCATGAACTTCAGAACAGACACCAGAAATATGTTTGAAGATCACTATAAGGTGAAAGCAAGTACAGCGAGGTACTGCGCGCATAGGATCATGGGAGTCGAAGATTCGGCCGGCAGGTTGACACCCAAGGAGTTCAAAGATCTTTACATGGCACGCGTAGACTGTCATCTAAGCCATGGATGCGAGGTTGCTCCTGACAGTGAAGATATTCATGTGAAAGAACTTTGCGAGGTTCAAGTCGACTTCCTCCAGCAAATACTGAATGTTCACTCTCAGTCTATGCTCGTACCCCTCTTTACTGAGACTGGAATAATGCCGCTTCGAATCCGCCGTTTTCTGCTGCTTCTGGTGTATTTGCAGTATCTCCTGTCGCTGAAACCATCCCATTTGGCTCGCGCAAGTTTCAACAGTTCTATTGAGCTTGCAGCGGCAGGGAAAAAGTCTTGGGCTCGAGATGTGCTAAACGCCACAAAGAAATTCCCATTTGAGTGTCCACCTCTTGATTTCAGTAGCGCAACCGAACAAAGTATTGAGGCCTACCAAAAATCAGTCGAAACATGTGCACTTGAATGGTTACAGCAGGAAGTCAACACCTCAGACAAACTCTATTTGCTACATGGACGACGCGAGCCACAAAAGAACAAATCTGCCGTGCAAAAGACTTGATATCTAAGGTACTATCTCTCTATGGTGAAGACACAAAGCCACCCAGAGTCACTTACCTCCATTATGATGTCGACCCATTCACTTGCCTTGGAAAAGTTGCGGTATTTTGATCATACACACCAACCACCTCCCCGTGACCAGTGCCTCTGTCGTTTCTGCACAGCTGTTTGAAAGTCCTGAACACACATTATTGGAATGCCGGGCATCACCGGATGTCCTCGAGCTACGCACTAAGTTTCTGGAAAACTCTTCCACACTGTGCCTAAACTGCAAGAGTAATTGGCTGAACTTAATAGTGTTGAGTTCCTGAAAGCCATGATCTACGAGCGCACAACTATCGTTTTGGTTGGTAAATTTGTGTATGAAGTCCTTGAGGAATTTTATGCCGTTCCTATGTATCGTCCGAGTAGCGTCTGAGGGATTGATGAGGCTGAATTGTTCTAGGTCATTTTCAACTCCTTCCGTCGTCTGGGGTCTACAGTGGGGCATGGGGGAAACCTGTGGGGTCTGCAAGCTGGGGCTTGGATTGGCGGAGAGAAGTACAGGGGCGATGGTGTATTTTACTTGCTTTGTACACCAGGATAATCCCTGAGACACACCATATAAAGATATATCTCGACCTAGGTCAAGATGTAAACTGAAAGTGTGCCAATAAGTGAGCAAATCTGAACTTGTAGAAATTTGTTCTTTCATTTGATGCGGAAACTGAAATGGAAAGAGCTGCAATCAGCAGCTCTTTCAAAAGGCAGAGATTTATTCATTGTCAGTGAGTTATGAAAGCCACACCAAAAGAAGTTCATTTAGCAGCGCTTTCAGGCATTCCTGAAAGAAGGACTTTCAGGGTAACAATAAAAAATCTCTTTGTTAGAACAAAGGAAATTTTGGATTGTTAGACTGAAAGTTCTTTTTTCAGTATGGTTAGGAAGCACAACTGAAAGAACTCCTTGCAGTGAGGCTTTCATATCTTACTGACAATGACTCAAGCTTCAAGTTTTGAAAGAGCCGCTGATTGCAGTTCTTTCCGTTCCAATTTAGGTACAACATATTTTTGTGCTTTCAAAAAAATTGGTTTGTGTACTGATTGTTATAAATTCAGCTTAACTTTTGACCTAGGTCGAGATTTTTCTTTCTTGGGTGTGAGAACCGGTGTTTGTTATTTGGACCGTGCCATGTAATGCTACCTTCCTACCTACCTACCCACTGGATGAGCCTGCGTGGCGTGTGGTGCCATGAAGCATCCTCAGATCAACAAAAATGATGTTAAATCATGACCTAGCCCTGGCCCTACCGCCAGCTTATACTAGTAGAGGTCCTGGTCATACCAAAAAACCGCACCAAGGCACTGTATATAAATTGGGATTTCGTCGGGACCGTATTATTGATGAGACTCGACGCGAAAGATCAGCGCTGTAGCCTATGGTCTCCTTGATTTAAGGTAGATAAATGGGCCAAAAAAAAGACAAAGATCACAGACGCATGACCTAGCCTGGATTCGAACCAGGGAATTTCACAGGCTGCCATTTTGTCCTCTAAGATGTTACGGACGTGATACATTTCGCCGCTGGGCCTTGTTTCCATCCAGCAAGACCTCGTGTCATGCTGCATTTCCTCCACAAGTCCTGGGACATAGTCTGGGAATAAAAGGAGGCTCACCAACTCCGAGTGTACTCAGCCCATCAATGCCACAGTGCGACCTCAGCACCATTTATGGTGAAGAGTGGCCTGCAATTTTTCAAGCAAAAAAGAAGGAAAATTAACTGGATTGCTGCATGACCTAGCCTGGATTTGAACCAGGATTTTATCCACAGAGCACTTATCTACATTCCAACTCAGATGTCGCAGACATATCTGTCGCCACTAAGACCTGTTCCTTTGGCTAACGAACGGTTCGGTAGGTTACCCAATTTCCGAGGGATCAATGAAGTGTTGGAATATTATTGGGGTCAAAGAGAACCCAGCATCATGGCCAAGGTAACAAGTTGTACCGAGTCAGAACAAGTCAGGATGAGAGTCAGTAGAACACAGGAGAACACAGGAGAAGATTATGGAACATTCTAATTACATTTAACAGTTTAGTATATAAGTAGCGGCAGCCTCAGATTCTATGTATTGCTCAAGTGTTTGCAGAGCTCAGCCAACCACTAAATTATTATCTTGGATTCTCACCCAAACTCCCTAAGAAAACCCATCAAATATGCACACTTCCATAGATGTCTGAACATTATTTTTCTGTTGGATGGCCTTGTCATAACAGGATTTGGGCTCCGCTTCACATGTATCAATTGCCGGTTGTATCCTTGATCTTTGACTGGCCGAAGAGGGTGTCAAGCAACTGACACTGCCAGGCATTGGGCAACTTATATACGTATTACGGGCTGTAGAGGCTCTTCTCACACATTCCGTGGCTTTTCCCTGACCCGGAAGATATCTGGAGATTTCCCATGGCCGCTCAATCCCTCCACCTCCCTTCAACCCCCAGCTCAGTGCAAAGTTTCCTGATTACTGCGATTTATCATCGCCAAGCAACAGATCAAGATTCCCCTCAACTCATTCCCGGCCTGGAAAAAATTATGGATGGATGGTGGTGGGGAAAGTTACACTTGAGTTTTTAATAGTTCCGATCTTACTTGGAGGACATGTGATGGATCATTCCCGACATCCCATTAGGTTAAGTGCGCTCTTCCGACGCTTCTCTTGCTCGTCAACCTGGGAATATTTTTCTCACGGCAGGGAATAACAAGCACGAGGCATTGACTAACATCCTGATGTCTTGGGTTAACGGGCTCAGGGTGTCGGTCCCTCAGTTCAGCAACATATCAATTCAATGGACTCACCCTGAAATTTCCTGAGCCCAGATACAGTCCTCCGTTTACCCACATAAACAGGCACAGCCACGGCCATATAAGGTGAAATCCTAATCGACGTCGACTAGTAAGCCGCCACAACATGGTCTACTTTCGCGTTCTGCTGTCCCTCTTTGTCACAGTCACTATCGTCGGCGTGTCCGCCCTCCTCAGCAACACCGGCGGCCTCCTCGTGAGGAGTGCTGACGACACCACGGTAAGTTTCCTGCTTCGGCTGGAGCTGTTGCCTCATTCTTCCCGGTCCAGTGCACTGCCCTATGGGGCCAATGCGGAGGACAAGGGTGGACCAGCCCTCTCTGCTGTACGGACGGGAGTACCTGCGTCGTCTTGTGCGAGTTCTACCAGCAGTGCCTGCCCTCGGATGATGCTTAACTCCGACGTGCGTTCAGAGCTCATGAGAGATTTGCCTAACCTGAATTTTCTTTTTTAGCCGAGGTAGCATCGAAAGAAATGCGAGGGCTGTTTGGTTTCCTTGATGTAATATTCTGCTGAAATGTCAAATCAATCAATTGAATCTCGCGAACACAATACCGAAATTCTATCATGGATTCTGTGCCTCATTCGGATGCATCTCCGCACAGGTAGGTTGTTTATCATGTTTCTGGATTACCCATACAGTAATTAACCGGGAAGCGAAATGCTCAAGCGAATTCGCAATTCCCGGGCCGAGATTGCATAAAGTTGTTGGGGATGTCTTCATAGATCGATAGAGATGTGTCAGGGCTACCTGGCAATATATAGTTTTATAGGGAAATGTTGTGTTTTGATTGAGAATGAGACCATTCTTCTACAAACATCCGATTTTGCAGAATCACGTGGAAGCGAAACACTGCAAAATAACCTGTGGGCCGCCGTTCGTTGCAATCCAGCCCAAGAGGTGTTTATATTCGTGTTCTACGACCTTGAAAACTCCCAGTTCACACGTTTGCAGGAGGAATTGCGCGCCCGAAATACCGTGCCTCTGACGGATTATATCCAACAAAATAGGCCAAAAAATAGCAAACACAAAGCGATCTGCCACAGGTTCTACAGAGTCTTTTTGCGC